CCCGCCCCGCCAGCTGAGGAGGCATCTCGTCGGCGGCGGCTTCCCCGGCTGCCGGCGCTTCGGGCAGCTCGCCGCGAAATCCGGCGCCTGGCGGCGGAGGGTCCGGTAGCTCCGTGGTAAGGGGCGCCCCGCGGCCGGCGCCGAAGACCCCGCCCGAGCGACCATGTCTCCCGCCAGCAGCCGGTGGCCGGTGTGCCTGCTGGTGGTCACCTGCGTGATGCCCGGACCGGCCCGGAGTCAGCAGTGCTCCGCGGAGAAAATGGAAAATACCATCGTCGATATAAACTTATCGCTGCCCAGAGGCGTCAGGGGCGCAGAGCCGGGGTACGCCCCAACCCCGGCGGCTTGCCTTCGCGCCTGCTGCTCGGGGGAGAAGCTGCCAGGTAACCGGCTCCTCTTCGGGCTTCCCTGTGACTGCGTACGAGCGCTTGGGAGGTGACTTCTGAAGTTGTCGGGGACGAGGCTGTTCGCTGTATGCAGCGCGGAAGCGTTCGTTTATCCTTCCATTCACGCTGCGACTGCTGACAGCTTGCGGCTGCTACCCTGTTTTGCCAAGTGTGGTGTTAGATCTTAATGCAGGACCCCAGGGCGTTCAGGGAAACAGTTGCCATAAAGAAACAGTGGTAACTTTAAAGGTTAACAACTCTCAGACCCCCAAACCCTAAGGTGTGTAAGCTGTACTTAGTAGACGCGCTACAAAGTAACTGACATCTTACTCTAGGGTTAATTTTAGCCAAAAATGAGAGTGCTTGCCCTTCTCTGAGGCGAGTGGTTTGCATCAAGCTCAAGTACAGCAGCAAGTAGCGAGGACAGTGGTAAAAGTAACCCCCCCAACCAGCAACAAGCCAAGAGATTCCTGGGATGTGATGGGAAAAGCGTAGAAATCATTTCCTTCCCCGTGAGTCTATCAAGGAGGTTTTCCGATTTATCAGGATTTGTAAGTTGTTACGTAAAGCGGTGCCAGCGCGGTACGGGCGAGGGGAGGATGAGGGATTAGACTCGTTATTTCCCCCAGTTCCTCTGCACAGGAAGAGGAAGGTGTGACCTTTCGTGTATTGGCCCCGGGCCATTCTTTTTGCAGTCCTGGGTTGTTTTTCCTGTAGGAATGTTGTATGTTAGTACTTTTCCCCTTGCTCACACGAGGAAAAGCTAATTTAACGGACCAGAGCTTATTATCAAGATGGTATAAAAGTTCTTATTGCTGAAGTATGTATATATCATGTTTTGCAGGAGACAAGAAGTGTAATTTGATGATTTTTCATGCTCGAAGTACGAGCGCGCGTCCAAACTGCTACCTGTTTTACTGCCCGAGCACAGAGGCCTGTCCAATGAAACCGGCAACAGAATTTGTGAGCTACAAGATAACTAGAGGTAAATAATGGTAAAAGCCACCAATCCCCACACTAGATGACCTTTGCACCTGTGACTTTTCAGTAGTGACCAGAAAATTTGGGGGGGGTTGCGTTTTTAGTAAAATGTTCTAAGCCAAGCACTGTAATTTGAAAGTGCTGCTCTTTTGCTTTGTGGGAGATGGATGGGCAGGTGTGTGGTGAGCTCCTGCATGAGCCCAGCTTCCCGGCTGGAACAACATCCCGACCCGTATGAAATTCCTTCATGTTAGATTCAGAAATCCTCATAATTTTCCCTTGCTTAAAACAAAAAGAAGCTGTTTCCATCTTGATATATTCAAGAAGCAAAATTTCCTGTACATAACGCTGAATAGTATCGCTGAAAGCAATGGAAATACGATGCCCTTGTAGCCGTCTGCGTATTCAAAGGATCCATGCTGCACTGATAAATGCCGTATACACACGGGCAGAAACACCGAGCTAATGTTGGGCCAGCCTTGGAGCACCTCTGTGATGTTACCGAGTAATTGGCAATAGTAATAATTATTTTCTGCTTTCAGTTAGGGAACCTGAAGCGCAGATGCAGATGGACTAAGCTCAAAGCTTTATGGCGTGTGGGCTGCACACTCAGAAATTTCTCGCTATCTGTCATGTGCTGTGCGATTTTTAATAGCAAGTCTTGTTGACTGGCGTTGACTTGCACCAGACCTGTTTGAACAGCTCAGATAAGAAACTAATAATTAGACTGTCCTCCTGCCAGGAGTTCACAAGGCGGTTTCGGTGTGGCTGCTTGAGAGAGCAGAAATTTTGTATTTCCAGAGACTGAACTTTTGCTGAAAAAGTGAACTTTTCCAAGAGGAACTATGCAAGGAGCAACAGCAGGATATGTAGAAAGATTATTCACATAATGTTACCAAATATTTTTGTGCAAGCACAATCACACAGGAATTGGTCAAAAGCAATGTGCAACAAATGAATTGCATGCCTGTAAAATTACCGTTAGAACTATTCTTTTCTCCAGCTCTTTCTCCCTTAGAAGAATATAGGGGTTTCAAACAAAGAAACAAAAAATGTAATCATGCTTTTGCTTTCCTCTTGCATGTAGTGTAATGCTCTGTTAACACTCGATTGCATATACCATCTAATTTTCATTTTGCATTTTATTAGCTTCTGTGAACATTGAATTATGGAAAGATTATGCTAGTTTATTTACTTATGTTCCTACTAAGTTTTCAAAGGTAGCACCTGAGTGGCGTTGGTACTGACAAACATTTCAAGCTCTGTTTCTTCACATGAGAATCTGCATGTGGTTACACTGAAAACCAAACTAAAAGGGGGAAAGATACTCTGTGGGTAATAAAGCAACTTAAAGTACTGATGCTATGTTAGTAATGAGGTGTTGTTTTTCTTTTTTTAACTATTCTTGTGGCTTGGTAACTAATGGAAACAACGTATGGCTCAGGAAGTAAAACGTTTCCTGGTCCCAGTCACAAAGAGCTATTGCTGAGAAGAAATAACATTTCTGATTTCTGCTCTTCGTGTACTACTTTGGCGTTTGCCTTTTCTACCCCATTAAGATACTGGTGGGTTCTAGTAAAGTAAGTTCAGGAGGTTCTTTGTTTTTAAGAGTGACAACCCTGAAGTTTGGTTTCTAATGCAGCTTACTGATTTTGAGATATCAGCAGGACCACTTTGGTTTTTTAATCTCTTTTTAGAGGTTGACTTGCTTAGTGCCCTCGTTCTTTCTTACTAACAAGCATATCTACCTTAGTACCCCAGCCGTACCTCGCACGGGACAGTTTTGGGCAATTGCATTTGGGAGCTTGTAGTCTAAAATGGAGACAAAGAATACTGTAAAATCAATGTTTGATGCTGAAAATGTGGAGTAAGAATTAGTTAGTGCAGGCAGTTAATTAACGCGAGGGCTGCAGAGTAGCAGTGATACTTATCTGTCGTATGGGACTCGTCAGGTCGCCTCCCTGTGCTCCCTCCACCCGTCCTTTGAACGCTGCGTGCGTGCTCTCTGCTTTTCTAGCTGTTGCCCAGGCGAGCGAACTGAAGGTGACATAGCATGCTGCAAGTCCTTTGTGGCTGTCACACTACATCTGCTGCGTGTTTAAATGCACGGGGGGGAGCACCCATGGGAGTGCATCGGGAACAGGGAAAAAGCGAGCTGGGAACGGACTCCGTGGTGGTGACAGGCCGTTCCCTCGCTGGTGTGGAGGTCTGTCCAGAGCTGCAGAAGCAGCTGAGAGTTTGGGCGTCTTTGACCATACAGTTGCTGATTCTCTAATCGCTAAATGTTTCATTATTTAAAGCCACACTCTAAAAACAGAGTATGGCTTTTCTCTAATTCAGACCTTGTGGCTGCAGTCCATTATCTCTATTTAGGATCTTACTTTGCTAACAAGCTGGTGCCTGACTGGAAGGTTAGGATAAAAATTGTTGTCTATGATTCAAGTGAAGTATTTGCTGTGCTCTTGTTTAAAGCATTGCCAGTTTTTTGGTTTCTTGTTTTGTTGTTGGTTTTTTTGTTTGCATTTCACTTTTTTTGTAGAGTTTTAAGGCTTGGAAATATATATTAAGACAGCAGCCAATTATGCTTCCTTGCATCTATAATAAAACTGAAATAAATCCATCCCTCTAGATAAGAGTTCCTACTTGAGAAAAAAGTGACAATGAAAGTGCCATGGACTTTTTGTTATTTATTTCAATTCCAGTGCAGCTAACAAACCTCTTTGTATCTATGAAAAAAGAGATGAGTGAGAGTCAGAACTACTTGAGAGGATGTTCCCTTTTAATGTTCTGTGTGGCAACTGAATGATAACGATTATATATATGTATACACACACACACACACACACATGCATATATTATATATGTGTATATATCAGTACACGTATAAAATAGTCTATAAAATGGGGATATTATTGCTACCTTGTATCATAAGACAATTTTTGTATGAGAATTGAATTGTATCAAACAATCACAGGCTGCTTGGATATTACAAGAAAGGGGAGTATATTGCCATCCAGAGAGACCTGGACAAGCTTGAGAAGTGGGCCTGTGTGAACCTCATGAGGTTCAACAAGGCCAAGTGCAAGGTCCTGCACTTGGGTCGGGGCAATCCCTGGTATCTATACAGGCTGGGGGATGAAGGGATTGAGAGCAGCCCAGAAGAGAAGGACTTGGGGGTACTGGTAGATGAAAAGCTGGACGTGAGCCAGCAATGTGCTCTCGCAGCCCAGAAAGCCAACCATATCCTGGGCTGCATCAAAAGCAGCGTGGCCAGCAGGTCAAGGGAGGTGATTCTGCCCCTCTACTCTGCTCTGGTGAGACCCCACCTGGAGTACTGCATCCAGCTCTGGGGTCCTCAGTACAGGAAGGACATGGACCTGTTGGAGAGGGTCCAGAGGAGGGCCACAAAAATGATCAGAGGGATGGAGCACCTCTGCTATGAGGAAAGGCTGAAAGAGCTGGGGTTGTTCAGCCTGGAGAAGAGAAGGCTGCGCGGAGACCTTATTGCGGCCTTTCAGTACTTAAAGGAGGCCTACAGGAAAGATGGGTATAGTCTTTTTAGCAAGGCCTGCTGCGACAGGACAAGGGGTAACGGTTTTAAACTAAAGGAGGGTAGATTTAGATGGAACACAAGGAAAAAGTTTTTCATGATGAGAGTGGTGAAACACTGGAACGGGTTGCCCAGAGAGGTGGTAGATGCCCCATCCTTGGTAACGTTGAAGGCCAGGCTGGATGGGGCTCTGAGCAACCTGATCTAGGTGAAGATGTCCCTGCCCATTGCAGGGGGGTTGGACTAGATGACCTTTAAAGGTCCCTCCCATCCCAAAGCATTCTGTGATTCCATATAATCATCTTGGCTAGGTGGAAATGTGTACATCTGACAAATAAAAGTGAGGTTGATAATATCTACTTCTTAACTGACAGAGGCTGAGAATGGTTTAAAGGCAATGGGCCTACTCACTCTGCATTGCACTGCTCAATAAAACACTCATATGCATGCAATACAAGTATAAAACAATCAGATTGGGATGCTCGCTCTCCACAGGTGAATTCTGTAAGAAGCGTCAGTCAGGGTCTGGTGTGCCCAGGCTTGAGACTGACAGGTCTTATGACACAGAATTTAAAAGTCACTCACCGTATTTTAAAGAAAGGAAGATCTTGGTGCCTCAGTTTCATTAGTCATTACTTTCTGGAGCCCCCTTTTTTATCTCTCTTACTAAGAAATACAAATTGTTAGAGTAAGCCTGTGGTAGTCAAAAATAGATTTAATAATTAAATGCTGGTATTTCCTTTCTGTTTGCAGACACCCATGCCCTGGAGGATACATCCTTCAAAAGTGAGGACTTTTCTTCAAATGGGTATTCTTTGTCTTCGGAGGCTGGACACTTTATTTCTCCCAGTCAGACTAGCCATCAGAATCGTACCGCTGCTTTGCGACAATCTGTCTTTCATCAGGCATCGGAACTCCCGAGCCACGCAGCCGAGCATTTAGACAACAGCGCGTTTCGTACAGTTTTTCCTGAATCTCAAAAGGCAAAACATCCTGAGAGCTTAGACCCCATCCCGAGGCAGAAAGTAATTAACCTGCCGTCACATACGTCTTCTGCTGTTCGAATTGGAAACCCCTCTGCTTTGTTCCCCACCACTCATTCTAGCGTTCCTGAACCCAGCAGAGCTACTCTTACTCCTCTGCCTACAAGTACCACCAGGCTGCAATCTCATACAACCCCTGTGCCTACTGGTGGTGCTAAACCTACTGCTGTCACCAGCACCACCACAGCTACCTTTCCGCCTACTGCGAACACTAGAGGTAAACCTGGTATCCCTGCTGCCACCATCGCTGTTACTCATGTTCCTCTTTCCAGTCCCACAACTTCTGCTTCAGCTCCAACAACCCAGCGCGTGACTGCGAGTTCCAGATCTGCTACTGCCCCATCAGGGCGAAGAACTCCAGCCATGCCTCCTGAGCCAACAGCTGTCTCTTCCAACGATACCAGCCGCGTTACCCTCCTCTCTTTTTCAGGTTTCGCTCTGTCTACTAGTGATTCCCCCACGGCTTCCCAAAACGACCCTCAGGGTTATGACCCATCTGATTCAGAAAGCTACCTGCCAGAGAGTGTTCTGAGAGGGAAAGGTGTTGTTCAGCTGGGAGAAAAAAGCAGCCTTGTAGCGGCTTTGCTTTTTGGGATGATATTCTTGTTACTAGTTATTGCACTGACGGGGAAGAAAATACACGAATCTCTTCAGAAGAGGCATTATACCAGGCTGGATTACTTGATCAATGGAATGTATTCTGATGTATGATGGGGAGAGGGAATACGATTTTGAGGAGCATCTCTCATCTTTGAGAGGACAACTCTGAAACGGAACAGTAGATATTGAAATCTCAGAAGAGGACGGATTCCTTTTTTGGCCACTAATGGGAAAGCGGCTTTGGTGGGGAAAAGAACTGCTTTTTCTATGCTGAACTGTAACGTCTATCATTTTTGATTTACTACTAAATCCAGAAAATAAACACTAAGATCCAAGTTAAGCTTAGAAGGTCTTATATGTAAGGAGAAAAAGCATTTGAAGAGCTTAATCTGTACTGTGACAAGATTAGTGGAATAGAAGTACACCTAATAAATTGAGTACCTGTGCAGCGCCTGAGTGTTTTCAATGCTATTTGCACCCAAATGCCCTAGTGTTACATGACTGTCTGGCAATCCTATTTACTCTATTTGTAGCCTTAAAGGAGTACTTAGTAGTAGAGCTTTGCATCCAAATGGTTTTTGGTACAAACAGTAAAAGTTGTAGTACACATAACATAGTTGGCTTAATTTTCCTTAGCTACATATAGTTTATGGATATATACGTATCCTTAATGTTTTTTTATGCATACATTGCAAGCTATCCTTAAAACCATGTGCTGCAAATTTGAGTTTGCGTTTTCCAAAGAGCTCGCCGCCCTGTAGCACATTGGGTTTTTGGGGTATGTATCAGAGAGAAAGAGTTTTTGTCATATCAAAGTAAAGCAAGCTGCAATCAAGGTCTTTCGTGGCAAACGTCATGACCAAGTGACTTGGCATGTGCACGAGAGAGAGAATCTGTTCTAATACACCTAAATCCCTGACAGCTGAGACTCAACACCTGATCGCAGAGCAGGCAGGAACTTGTGAGGGGGCTTCGCAAAGACAACCGCTGTATTGTTGGCAGAAGCCACAGAAAAGGTGTGGTCTCCGTTTGCTGAACATCTGGAGGGACTGAAGAGAAGTAAGAAAGTTTTAAAGGAAAATGGTGGCTAGGTAGGAGGGTGCCAACCTCAGAGAAGTTTCCTGCAGTCAGCAGGAGTGGACGAACAAGGTTGCGTTATCTTCATGTTTCTGGTGTTCTCCTACTTCCCTCACCAGGCTGGTGGCTCTGGAAAGAGCTGCTTGCAACAGTGCTGGACTTGCTGTCCCTCCTGAATGCACAGAGCTCTCAAAGCACACCCTCGTTACTTCTAGGGTCATCTTCATGTGACTGGTAATAAACATAGCTGCTCTATATGTTTCCTCACCTCTGGAATAAGAGATGAGTGAGAGTACAGGTGAGCATCTGCTGCTTGCTACACAAGTTCCAGTCCGTATTATTCACATTTCCCTTCGCATACACCCAGTCTAAACCTGTTTTTAGAATGAAAGACTAGATTTCAAAGTATCCATGTGGCAGGCAGCATAATCAACAACAAACATCAAGACAGAGAAGGAAGGGTGCCTTATGAATACAAGGAAATAATTCTATTACAAAATACGAAATGTGAGTCACGTCCAAGAGGTTCTTAGATCTGTCAAGCTCAGTGCAGTGGGAAGCAGGTGTGATCCAAAAATGGCCTCAAGGCACGCTTTCTGAGAGCTCTAACAATAACTTTATGCAGAAAATTCTCTGAAAATTCCATTATTCAAAGATCAAGGAAAAGTCAGTGTTCCTTATGTCAAGAAGTTGAATTCTTACTATATGGGGGCTGCAAATTGCTTTACAGATACAAAACCAGCTGGTCTGACAATGCTTAAATGAAAAACATTCTGGATAACCTCTTAAAAGTGAACAAAATTACAAAAGAAAAGTATCTCAAGTTCATCAGCTGTCTGTTGACTGCACTTTGTTTAACCTCAGTTTCTTTCTTCTTTTTTTTTTTTTTAATAGCTATTTTCAAAGGTTTCTGGTCAAGGAACATGACGAGGGGGAATAACATTTCTGGGAAATGAGTTAATAAAATGGTAAGTACTAGGCCGAGTTGTGGGCTGTAAAAATGCAGGCACAGATCTGAGGTTGACCATAATCTTCTCTCAAAAGAACTACAACTTTGTGAGAAGCCTTCTACATTGCCAATGCCATCACGGCAGCTTATTGCAGGAGAGGTGTTGAGAACAACCCCTGAATCCTCACTGTGTGTTTCTGCTGTAATAAAAAATTTGTTGGCGGAAGAGATGGTTGGTATTAATTGATAACAGTCCAGTACAGTAGAGATACATTCAAGAGATGGCAGGCTCAGGGTCATTCAGAGCACTGGGCATGTATTTGGCTAATATCATCAGAATCATCCCCCTCCAACCCAAACAGCGACGTATATCAAGCGCGGTGAATGGCAGAAGTAAAGCAGAGAGGTGCACGGGTACCGTGACTAATTTGGTGAGGATGCCAAGCAGAGTAGCCTTTCACAATTTTTGAGAGAAACAAAGAACTTTAAATGTTCTTACATTAAAAATTCTTTTTTATGCTTGAGCAAAGAAAAGTACGTTCTAGGCAGGTGTACTGAAATACTTATCGGGTTTTGTTTTTTTTTTTTTTTGCCATCCATTTGCCTTGTTAGATTAAGAGCAAACAGGGAATTACTAGGCGACCAGTTTCGATCTTTCTGGAGAGGCATTGACGAGCTGTGTTTCAACACTAGAGGGCAACAACAGTTCATCAAATAGAATTGACAAATTTTGAGGATGCCTATTTAAAGATGTTTTAATTAGCTCGGTTTTTAACTTTCCAGTCAATGGCTATTTCATTGCAAAAAATGTTTTATAGGAAAACTGGTTTGTTTATTGGAAGGTTCTGGGTGGAGGATTATACACACACACTTTTAAAACTTTTTACTATATCATACAGTGGTAGTGAACATCTATAGAAGACAACAAAACTAAGGATATTATCGTCTCTATTTTAATAATGTTAAATCAGATTGCATTTTTAGTCACGTGTTGGCATTGACAGTTAACAGAGCAGGTGAGAGAGATTTCCTATCATCATTCTTTCAACTGTGCTGCTTAATTATATGCATTTTCAGAGCTTATTTGTCTGGATAATGCTCTTGTATCATGAAACAGAGGAGTGAGACAGAGTAACTGTAAAAAAAATCCATCCAGTTTTTTATGCTTTTCAACACTGTTTATCTAAAATTCCTATGCATTCTTCTATTTTGCCGTTGACATCTGCTGTGGTCTTAACTGCACACCGCGCTCATGTCACTGGATCATCAGCCATCACGATATGATGACAACCTGTGCACTTGGGGTGGCTCTTTCTGCAGGTAACCAGTTATGTTATGGCTCAAGGCCAAAAGCTGATTGACTTCAGTCACTCGGAGAGTGTAAACACTGTAGCTGCTTGTTTTCATGTTGTTGCTTTATAGTGCTGAGCAAACATAAGGTGTGTAATATAGACTGTCGTGAACAAAACTGTTTTGTGGTGTTGTACAGTAAGGCAGATAGAAAGCCCAAATTTTATAACCACTGCAAAGAATCATAAAGAAATAAATTGCAGATCTATTTGAGATGGATGAGAAGAGTGCACAGTCCCTACCTCTGGGCTGCAAACCCAGTATGGCATGTTCTCTTCAAATAGTGCTTCAGTGTATTGTAATTCCTGTAAGAGTAGGAAATGCTTATACTCAGGATTCTTTCAAGTAAATTAGTAACCAACAAACAGAAACAAAAAACCAAAAAACAATTACATGAGAAGACAGTTTCAAAACTGAATCTTATTTTCCTTCCTACTACAAAACCATCTTAGTGGATTTGAATCTGATGACACCATTAGATACCGCTTTGATCCCACCACCCCACACTCCATGCTGATACAAACATAGAGTTTAAAGTGCCATTATTGCAGCCAACAGTTTCCACCCAGTTTCCTTCTTCATATAGAGGAGCTATACTCTGTGCTCCGTCACACTCCTGAAATTGGCCTAGACTGCTGGGCCCTTCCTATGCATTACTCATTCTCTCATATAGGTAATATACTTCTCTACCTCCCTGTTCATTGATAGTTATGGGATACGTGCATCCCCTTCTTGTTTAAAAGTCTTGCACATCCCTTCAGGAGTGTACGTACTATTCCCAGATGCTTTACCAGCCTCTTGATGGGTAGGTCCTCTGAAGGACTGGGATATATTGAGTATTTTTCTTCGTCTTCAGGAAGCCTACACTCACTCCTAAACTCACGGTCTAAATTTGTTTTTTTCTTCTAGGTCTCTACACTTCTTGAGGGTATCAAAGTGCAAAGCATAAAACTGCTGCTCTTCCTCTTTGTGTTTGGTAGATATCATAAACAGTGAATAAATGTATTTTTAAGTTTCAGTACAACTAGACTGGATCACTGTTTCCTGTATATTGGCTCACTTCATGAAAAAAAAAAAACAAACCAACTGAGGATTGCGCATTAACGCCTCTCCTTCCAACCTATAAAATGTCATTGTCTTAAGTGGCAAAAGAGTTTAGATATGCCATGTCCAAGGTATTCTGATCCCTCTTCTTTTTGGTTTGCTTTGTTTTTAATAGAAAATTGACCCAGGAATAGTCATCAGATAATTTGTGCACTCTGTATTTTCTCAAAGAAATTTAACAAGCCGCTAACATCCAGAACAACTTCAAGATGTTGTAAGTTTGACTGGCTAAACCATAGGCATGTTTTGAAACATTTGCCGATTTGAGCAGTCACTTTGAAGACCACAAAGGTGTTTCTTCAAAGAGCTAAGATGGTAAGGATGTCTATATAAGGTATAAGTACTTATAAGGTGCTTTGGTACCTGCCACATCAGAAAAGCAGCTGAATTCTGGCCGAATGTTCAAAAGCCACCAGGAGCAGCAGCAGGCTTTCTCTGTGCCCCCACTTACACTGAAAGAAGGATGTGATCAGTGGTGCTTAGACTTTGATGCTGTGACTTTTGCAACTCTTCTCAACACCACCTAGATTGAAAATTTGCACAAAGTTCAAACATTTATTCCCGTGCTAGGAAGATGGTAGAAAACCCCTCACCATGACACAGATTTCCTATTTCCTGTTGTTTAGTTAGT